ATATAATATAATAGTTGCTTCTAGACAGAAAAATAAGTAAATTTGACTCTTTAGAGGACATGTTTCAAGCAAGCTAAGCAGGTCAAGGAACTGAAATACTTTTTCTGCTGACCTTCACCTCTGTACTTTATATTCTCCCTCTGTTCCCTCAGAAGCTGTCTTTCAATACATGTTATTCTATTCTTATGGTGATAACTCTCTAGCTAAACTTCCTTATTATCCTCAAAGAGTCACAGAGCCTCAAAGGAGAAAATCCAATTGGCATAGCTCTCTGTTAAATACTTGAGATATTTCATTTCAGCACATGGCATTTCCCATGTCTGGAAATAAGAAATAGTTAAGCGGATATGGAGCACTCAGGATATTGCTTCATTGGAATATCTAAATTTTCTCTGATGACTCAGTTTCTGTACAAATATAAAATTTCATGCCAAATTCTTTTCAATTGTAAGAGGAAGTATCTGCTCATAAACTTAAAAAAATTTACACATTCTGCACACCCATGTTTATTGTGGTTTTGTTCACAATAGCAAGGAGTTGGAAACAACAAAAGTGCCCATCAACAAACAAACAGAGAATCTGTGGAATGAAATACTACGCTGCATTGAAAAACAAGGAATTCAGGCAATATTATTCAAAATGGGTGACTCTGGAGGACATTATGCTGAGTGAAATACCTCAGTCACAAAAGGACAAATATTACATGGTGCCACTGTTGTAAAACAGGAATGAATTGGGGTTGGGGGGAGACTGAGAAAGATGGGCTCAATAATGTATACTGCATTGAAACAAATAAGGGAGAAAACTGTTTAAAAGGGATATGTGATTAGGTACTTTTGTCATGACAGGAGTCCAGAGTGAAGGTTACATAGTGGAGTGGACCTGGGGGAGGGTTTGTAAAACAATGAAAAAATTTTTCTTTTACTTTTCCAAGAGGGTAGTGTACTAGGGGGGGGAGAGTTGGGAGGGGGAAAAGTGCAACAATGAATGAATGGAAACCCAAAGTTTCTGTAAATTTTCATTGAAATTAATAATAAATTTTAAAAAATTTTGAAAATTACACATTCCTGGATTTTGATTTCTGCTATCTCTGCCACTTTGGACTCTGAAGTCACTCAAAACTTTGAACTCATAGGAATGACTTCCTCTGAGGTCCATCTGTTAGCTGCTTTTCAAAGTCAATGTACAGATTTGGGGTTAAACCTACTCACATTCTTGCTTCCATTAGAAGATCTCCCCATGACCATAGAGAACCAATTGGTCATTTGTTGACATTCACCCCTAGTTTTGAGAAATCTCTTTGACAACATAGATTTACTCTTGTTCATTGATGGTTCTTACTTAAAATGTGCTAGATTTCTTCAGAGGAGCTCTGATGCGTAGTTCACAATGTGCTGCACTTCTCACCAAAAGGTCTTCTGTCTCCAGTGATTCAAATATACCAATGGTTGTGTAGAAGAAACATGAGCAGTTTCCTCCCATTAAGTTACAGCCACAACATTCTTCAGATTGTGGATGTGTGTCATGATGTGGAGAAGGATGAAAAACTTATATGGTTAATGGAAGAGATCATGAGTGAGAAGGAGAATAAAACCATTGTTTTTGTGGAAACCAAAAGACGATGTGATGAGCCTACTAGAAAAATGAGGCGAGATGGGTGGCCTGCCATAGGTATCCATGGTGACAAGAGTCAACAGGAACGAGACTGGGTTTTAAATGAATTCAAACATGGAAAAGCTCCTATTCTGATTGCTACAGATGTGGCCTCAAGAGGGCTAGATGTGGAAGATGTGAAATTTGTCATCAATTATGACTACCCTAACTCCTCAGAGGATTATATTCATCGAATTGGAAGAACTGCTCGTAGTACCAAAACAGGCACAGCATACACTTTCTTTACACCTAATAACATAAAGCAAGTGAGTGACCTTATCTCTGTGCTTCGTGAAGCCAATCAAGCAATTAATCCCAAGTTGCTCCAGTTGGTTGAAGACAGAGGTTCAGGTCGTTCCAGGGGTAGAGGAGGAATGAAGGATGATCGTTGGGATAGATACTCTGCAGGGAAAAGGGGTGGATTCAATACCTTTGGAGACAGGGAAAATTATGACAGAGGTTACTCTAGTCTGCTTAAGAGAGATTTTGGGGCAAAAACTCAAAATGGTGTTTACAGTGCTGCAAATTACACCAATGGGAGCTTTGGAAGTAATTTTGTGTCTGCTGGTCTACAGACCAGTTTTAGGACTGGTAACCCAACAGGGACTTACCAGAATGGTTATGATGGCACTCAGCAATATGGAACTAATGTTCCAAATATGCACAATGGCATAAACCAACAGGCAGCATATGCATATCCTGCTACTGCAGCTGCACCCATGATTGGTTATCCAATGCCAACAGGATACTCTCAATAAGACTTGAGAGGTATATGTAAATGTCTGTTTTTCATAATTGCTCTTTATATTGTGTGTTATCAGACAAGATAGTTATTTAAGAAACATGGAAAATGCAGAAATGACTGCAGTGCAGCAGTAATTATGGTGCACTTTTTCGCTATTTAAGTTGGATATTTCTCTACATTCCTGAAACCATTTTTAGGGGGTTTTTTGTACTAGAAAATGCAGGCAGTGTTTTCACAAAAAAAAACATTAAATGTACAGTGATTTGAAATACAGTAAATGAAGGCAATGCATGGCCTTCCAATAAAAAATATTTGAAGACTGAAAAAAAAAAAGTTACAGCCTCTAAAATCAGATGGGAAGTCACTGTCAGTTGGAACTGATGTGCTGGCAGTGAATTTGTGTTTGAGGGCTTTTTGAGCTTCCATTACCAGGAAAGATATGCTGTGACAATCACCAATGAAGTTCTGGAAAGTAGTACTGTTCCTAAAGTAACAGTGGCCAATCGGCTGAATTGACAGTTCTTGCTTAGACTGCAAATTGGCTTCCAGACAGGCAATAAATATTCACACAGAATCAAGGTAATTTTCAGATCATATATGATTTTTGGTATCCTTTGGAAACAATGAAATTTCTTAGCTCATCTGGAACACAGATTAAGAATTGTTCCCAGGCAGTCAAACTTTTGTGGAGCTCTATTGCTTCCTTCTACAACTACTTCAGTTAAAAGTGCAAGTCCACAGCTTAAGGAAGTATCTCAGGCAGGAAGTAAAAGGAAATTAGTTGGCTGATGAAGTTGATAAACTGCTACTTCAGACAAGTTTCAAGCAGGTGGCAGTATCTGACATCATGAATATCATACAGCAAACTTTAGATGAGAGAGAATGCAACATCTTCATATCTAATGTTGCACTTGTGGAATAAAATAGATTATTGTACTTCCTCTACTGAGACTCTAGCCTTAGGCTATTGTTATTGGGTGTAATCTAGCTGGTTTTGACTTGTAGTGATCGGATGTTAAAGGGAAAAACCACTGCCTGTTCCTGTGTCACCTCCATAGTCATTTCTCTTTTTGAGTTGTTGTTACCACCACTGAATCACTTTATCTTAAGATAAGAGCACTCTTCTTTTTCATTGGCCTTCACTTTAGCTAGCATGATAGCATAAAAAAATGACTCATCTCCCCTTTGTATAAAATGCTAGTACCCTCTAAATATGGGAGGATTGTTCATTTGTGATAATTATGTAACACAATCCTGGCTTAAACAAACAAAGCAAATATTCTCCTTTTACACTATTATAGTTCTAAAAAAAAGAAAGAAGAGACTTTCAAAGCTAAGGTATTCCTGCCTCAAACCCTATAATATTTTCGGCTGTCCACATGCATGTGAAAGTTGGAGAATGAATAAAGATGATTGAAGAATTGATGTGCTTTATTAGTAGTGTTAGTCAAGAATGTTTAGTGTACCATAGACTGCCAAAAGGACAAATACATCTGCCTTAAAAGAAATTTTCTTAGAGCCAAGTATGATAACACTTTATCTTAGATACTTTGGTCATGATATTGAGAGGGGCCAGTCCATAGAGAAGGATAACATGTTTGGAAAATGAGAGAGTGAGTGAAAAATAACGAATCCCTAAATGTGATGGGTTGATACAATGACTACAGAGCAACAATGGCCTAAGTTCAACTCATAAAGTGGAGATGGTGCCAGATCAGGCAGGGTTTGATTCTATTTTTCATAGTGTCACTATGAGTCTATGGTAACACTATGTATCAGTTTACTGGGACAGACATGTCTACAACACGACTTTTCCTGCTTATGACAATATGTCTTTGTGTGTTGTTGTTGATGTGTGCTGTTGAGTAGGAGCTGATCCATAACGACCCTTCAGTGGGTTTTCAGAGCAGATTGCCCATCTTTCTCCTTCAGCAAAATGGACATGCTTGTTCCCTCAGAGTACTGGTTTGATGTTGTTGTTATGTGTTGTTAAGTCACTTGCGACTCATAGTGATCCAATGCGCAACAGCCCTAAATCCTGCTCTATCTTGAGCCATTTTCATTGTCTTTGCCACATCCAACCCCATGGTCACAGTCACTGAGTCAACCTATCTCATGCAGCGTCTTCCTCTCCTGCATTATCCCTCCACCCTTCTGAGCATGATGGCCTTCTTCAAGGACTGGTTTCTCCTGGTCACATGTACAAAGTATATAAGATGAAGTTTCAAAATTCTAGCTTCCAAGGAGAAATTTTATTTCACCCTCTCATACAAACACATCTATTTGTTTTCTTAGTACACTCATGACTCCTTCAGCATCGCAACTCAAAGGTATTGATTCTTCTTCTGTCATCCTTAGTGATTGTCCAGATCTTTGATGCATAGTAAGTGAAGACCCATAGACTGGATCAGGTGCACCTTAGTCTCTAAACTGACATCACTTCTCTTACACCACAGAAAGTTAGGCAAATGTTATTGCTGAGTTTCTGTATGCCTCACAAAGATTTTTACTTATCTAGGCTTCTTATGAGACTAAGGTGTGCCTGATCCGGGCGATAGTCTTTGCAATTATGTGCTATGCATCAGAGAGTTGGACAGTGAATAGGGAAGGTAGTAAGAGAATTGATGCCTTTGAGCTGTGGTGCTGGAGAAGAGTGTTGAATACACCATGGACTGCTAGGGGAACAAACAGGTGTGTCCTGGAGAAGGTTAAGCTGGAATGCTCCTTGGAGTCAAGGATTCTGAAGCTTCATCTGACATACTCTGGGCATGTTGCAAGGAGGAACTGGTCCTTGGAGAGGGGCATCATGTTTGGCAGAGTGGAGGGGCAGTGCAGAGGAGGAAGACCTTCAATGAGATGGATCAATTCTGTGAATGGAGTGGTGGAAATGAGTGCGTTTGAGATGTCAAGGTTGACACAGGATAAAAGGGAGTTTAGGGCTCTTGTACATAGGGTCACTATGAGTCACAAGCGACTTGATGGCATATAACAACAACAACAGGCTTCTTAGACCTCATACTAGTATGAATATTTTAAATTTTCTTTTAACGCAATAGCAAGATATATGTGTTATAGTGAGTACCTGGTATTGCCCTTGTACCAATACTACTCAAGATTGTTACTTACCTATACTTATCAACTCAACAAGAATTATCATTACCTTTATTCAATTCTTTTAGTTGGCTCCATAAGAGAGTGAGTTCTTGTTCAATCACTTCTGTTCATTGGTATCATGATCCTAATGAGTATTTTCATTACCAGTGGAGTAATTGTAAGTTGCATGAAGATTATCATGAATGCTTTTTTAATCTAGTGATGTTACCTAAAGGGGCATTATATATGTTATTGATATATATTTTATTTATGTATATATATATTTATATTTATATTTATATTTATATTTGTATTATATAACATATATACAATATGTTGTTGTTTACCATCAAGTCGGAACCGACCCATAGCAGACCCTCTGGTGGGTTTTCACAGGCAGTTAATCGCATGGGCCCATCCTTTTCTGGCAGAACAGCTGGCGGTGGCCTCGAAATGTATGCCTTTATGATTGCAGTGTAGGTTCTTACCACTAGGCCACCAGAGCTCCCTAGATATGTTATATATAATATATGCTTGCTTCAGCATCACATGTACTAAAAGTGGAATGATACAGAAAAAGATTAGCATGGCCCTTGCACAAGGATGTCACATAAAGTTGTGAAGTGTTTCATATTTTTGTATCCTGAGTTTGCTGTGAGTCTGCACCTTGTGCCTTGGGGGTGTCAAATGCCATAATGGTTACCCATGGTGGACTGTGTTTAGTGGAACTCCCAGTTTAAGATAGGTTTGGAAGCAGGAGTGGCATCCACTTTGTAAACAACATGCCTTTGGAAACTCTATGAACTATGATAAATGTCGACAGATATAGGAAATCTTCAGGCCTATTGTTCATGCTCTACTCGAAGGCAATCAACAACAACATAATATATATTGTATATAATATATAAAACCATATTATATATAATATATATAGTTGCTGTTGTTAAGTGCTGTCAAGTCGTAGATGACTAATAGTGACCCTATGAATGAAAGACCCAAACACTTGTATAACTTTCTTTGTTTCTCCAAGTCCATAGGATTTATGGAGGCAAGCTATTTTCGAAGTGGATGCCTTTCCTGCTTCCAAGCTTGTTTTAATAGAGGAGCTCCACCAAACACTGTCCACCATAGGTGACCATTATCACATTTGACACCTCAGGCTCACAGTGTTCAGCACCACAGCAACTACGAATTACCTCTGTAAATACAGTAAATGGACAGACCAGTGCTATACCACCTAGAAGAATGTTTGACTAAAAACAATTAAAACCAGGCCTGAGGGCCACAGATTAAAATCACCCACCTTTGGCTTGGTAGCATCACTTTTTGTCGATTAGGCCAACTGAGCTCTCTCGTTGTAGTTGTTAAGTGCTGTCGAGTTGTAGGCAACTCATAGCAACCCTATATATACACAACGTATATATACATTCTTGTTCTTACATTCCATCAAGTTGAATATGACACGTAGCGATCCTATAAATGAACAACAGATCTGAATTCTGTTCTATTCTGTGCCATCTTCACAATGTCTGACACACTCAAGCCTACTGCTCTAGTCACTGTGTCAGTTCCAGAAAAATGGAAACATGATATATGTAGAAGCTGTTAATAGTATCAATGAATGAGCAATCTAAGATTTAGGGAGCTCTGGTGGCATAGTGGCAAGAAGCTGTGTTGCAATCTCAAAGTCACACAGTTTGAGGCCTTCAGCTGTTGCATGGGAGAAGCGAATTTAATAGCCTCTGAAAACCCCATCAATGAGTCTGTTCAGACTCTATGGTACACAACAAAAACAACACTAAAAATAGCAAAAAGGCTCTCCAAATAAACTTCAGAATCTTCTTCTGTCTTTCCAACATTTCCCTTCCTTTTGTATTTTATTGACTATGCAAAAGCATTTGACTTAGTGGATCATAATAAATTATGGCTAACATTGAGAAGAACAGGAATCCCAGAACATGTAATTATGCTCATATGAAAATTTAACTTAACCAAGAAACTGTTGTCCAAACAGAGCATGAGAACACTGTGTTGTTGTTGTTGTTGTTGTTGTTATGTGCCGTCGAGTCGCCTGCGACTCATAGCGACCCTATGTACAACAGCCCTAAACTCCGCTCTGTCC